GGGGGGCGGATCGAACAAACACATGTAGCGGAGCTGCCTCTTCATAAGCTAAATCGCAAGACCACGCTCGATTTCGTGATTACTGCCGCTCGGTCCCACGCAGCATGCCCAACGCGGGGTCTGGACACGTCGTAATTCGGTTGAACCCTTAGAAGCATCGCGCGCCATTCTCGACCGGCAATGGCCCGGTAGATGCTTCATGGTCGACACAGACGCTCCCCCTCCTCCTCCTGCAAAAGAATCGACATCCACTAAAGGAACAACTTCATTTGGTGGCTGGGATGAAAGCGTGTTGTTTGCAAGCACACCCACGCCTACAAGGATGAATCTTCCGCGCGCAGCATCCCTTGATCTTAGCTGCCGCCAGCCAGATGCCGGGGCTCTTGCACACGCATTCGATCATGATACCTGCTTTCAGCCACACGGATTTTGCTACGCGACACCCGCACGCTTCTGTTTGGCAAGATGGTGACTGACACGACAAGACGGTGGCACAGGGAGTTGCGGGGCTGGCCAGAGCTTTCAAGAGCAGAAAAACACTCTTATACTTGTCCAAATATATTTTTGTTGTTTCTCGTCTTCTCATCTCGAATCGTGAGGACTTCTTCGTGTGCTATACACGAGGAACTGCAGCAGTGGATTTGCCTGAGAATTTAGAAGCGTGCTTCTTTGTCGTGAAGCTCACTCAAGAAGAGGCACTGGGCAGATAGACCAGAACAATTTTTTTAACCGGAATAACAGATGCGAACACCAACATGAGCGGCGCGACACGTATGGTCGGCTCCCGCCAATGCTTAGGCAACCCAGCGGTCTTGGTCTGACTTTTGAACGCGGCATTGACCAGGGGCCACACAGATGGTCGATGGGTCCATAGGTTTATTGTGACTTCGGCTTTGTCAGAGCCTCTACAAGAAAGAAACTGCAGGCCGGCGTGAGGATAAACGCACAACAACTTCTGCCTCTGGACCCTGCAACTTGTTTGTGGTGGCGTTTGCTGGACAGTTTTTGCACGAAAAATAACACCATGGTGGTGACTGTTGCACCTGTGTTTGAAGGGACATCTATCAACTATACGACTTTCATTGCTGAAGTTGCCTCTCCAACCGTTGGGTTCGATCACGATTCAAGTGGACATAAAAGAGGCACAAGCTGAACGGCATTTTTTCAGCGCAGCTATCGTACATCGTTGACGCCCTCGTCTATGCTGCAATGTCAGACAAGCGTGTTGGGGGCACCGCATCCGTGCAGCTATAAGTACCAGTGTGTGTTGTCTCTGTTGTATGCCAACGAAAATAATCTGGTAAAAAAAACATGCGGGGTACAGTGAGACCGGGAGTTCTGCCGAACGGGAGGTCCGCAATAAATAGCGCAGCAATGCCTAGCGACGCTGCAAGCCGTGGATACCTCTCACAAGCGCTTGTTGTTTCCTGTACGGCGGGTAGACTACTTGTTTACCGTAGGCAGAACCCAAGCGATTCCAATTGCACAATTTTCTTCGTACTCGCTGTGGAGGCGTCAATAGCGTCAAGTGTTTCGAAGAATGCGCGCCAAAAATCTTGCAAGAGATGTTTGAGGACTCCACCTTCCTCTACTTGCAACGCCTTTCATTATACTGCGAGTGTTGTGCACATGCTTCTCGTTTCTCGGAGCGCCCTCCGGTCGGCCTGGTGTCGGTTAGGGAGCTAGCGAGTGGTACAGCGTGGCCTACGCGCCTTGGCCAGATTGGCCCAACGCGCACCCGTGCCAGCGTGGTTTCGGGCAGGTCGTAAGCGGGCGGTATGTAGCACTTTGTTCTTGTTCAGGACTTTACTGCTGTGTACTGTATTGCGTAGACGGTACAAATACCACAAAGACCAAGCGAGGTATCTCTTTCTCTCTTTGTCGCCTAGGCAATGTATGCTGGAATCAAAGCCGAGCCCTTTCGACCTCTACTCGGCAGCTCGGAACAGTCGGGCAGCATGCCGGAAGTCGTGTAGACAATATTGTTAAGAGGGGGGAGAAGGAAGAGACTTTGATGCATCTATTGCGGCGACAGGGGCGCGATAGGCAACCGGGCCATTTCACATGCCACCGTCTCCATAGAGAGTCGAAAGAGAACAAGATCGCACCCACCCACCTACCCACCCGCCCACAGAGCTACATGTAATACGAACGCACAGTGTACAAACTCACCTTCCAGGTCTTCGTGCCAGTAGGCTGTGTTGTGTGAGCACTCTTCGACCGCCCCAACTCCCAAAGTCTCGTTCGCCCCAATGATCTCCTTTCTGCAAGACACCCCCTCGCATGAGGAAGTCTCCATGTAGAAAGTCTGCTCCATTACGAGCTGGGAATGCCCGTTCACAAGGCCGACCTTGCTCAGCATCATGGCAGCACCCAGTGACGATAACCCAGCTCTCCATGAGCCTCTCATGGTAGACACCGGTTTACAACAACTAAGGTGTGTGTGAAGGTAGGCGTCTGTCTGCCTGCTGCTGTGCAATTTCGCGTCGTGTCGTGCTCGCCCCCGTCAACAATCGTGCAATCGTACCGAGAGGAGAAAGTGTGGACGCGTGATCAGCAGCCCTTTCTGCGTATACCCTCCTGTGAAAGCTCTGCTCTAGCCTGCTACTTGACCGATAACCAAACGCCGTGTTGTGTGTTGTTCTTGATGATGCTGCTGGAGTGAGACGCTGCTCGCTGTGATCACGCTCGGTGGGATACACCCACACATCAACGATCAAAATGGTCCATGGAGCGCGTTGATTCGTCCGAAAGTGTAGATGGACACGTCGTTTTTTTTTTTTTCTCCCATCATTGGACTCTGTCGTCTGCCCCTCTGGCCCCGATCCTGCACTTCTACCAGCTAGAGGACCCAACCGGGGTCACATAGGAGGGGGAGGTTGGACCCCTTCCCGCGGTTCCTGCCTGAGATATTTTGATCGCGAGAAGGGTACAGCAGTCCCTTCCTTCGCGACTTGCGAAGCCGATCAAATTTACTAACAACGAGCTTTGCAGCGCATCGCTCCCACAGGAGACCAGGATTTCATTAGCGAGAAAAAACTCACTCTGTCGGGACTCGAACCCATGACCTGGCCCTTCGGAGGCCACGAGGCTACCCACTAGACCACCGGGGCGACCGTATGTGACATGTAACATGTGTAAACGACTTCTCTTGAATTGCCCCGACTTTTAGTCCCGAAGAGGGACGCAAACCTGTTTTTTCTGTTCTCACCTTTATTACGCCGATTTTCGATTTTCGAATTTCGGCACGCTGTCATGGACGCGAAAACTCCTTCGAAGCAGGCAGGCGACTGCACCTGTTTACACATAACCACGGCATTCCTCACACTCGGCGCGGACAGCACAAAACCACAAAACCCATCAAAATGCAAGCGAAGGAGGCTGCCAGCGGCAGGGGCCGTGCGCCACCAGGAGACAGGAAGACGCTGGAGGAGAGGAGAAAGGAGAGAAGGCTTTCGGCCGACCGCCGCAAGTCCGGTCCAAAGGCGACGGATGTTGAATCCATGCGACAGGATGGCAAGGCGGGGCGCAGGAGGCTCTCGGACAACCGCAGGAGGACCAGCAAAGGCAACAAGGCGGCCACCCTGCGCCGCGAACGGAGATCCCTCCGCCCGCCCCTGGCGGGACACCCGGGCATGGGACGGGCGTCTCTCCCAGCCCGATTTGGCGCTCCGCCTGCTGCTGCTGCGGCTGCTGCTGCTGCCGAACCTGCAACGGCGATGTCCCAGCAGGATGTTGGGGTGGTAGTCATGAACCTGGATAAGGAAAGACAAGAGGAGGAGAAGAAGCCAGCAGAGGAGACGGGAGAGGGTGATGACGCGCACTGGACGCCCGAGATGGTGACGGAGGCTGCAAAGGTCATCCTAGGGGGTGACCGGCAGGACCAAATCAGGTCTGCATCCGCCAAACACGTGCAAAATCGTCAACCGCCAGAAAATTCATCACGATCATCTATCTGCACTCGCACCCACCCATCGTTCTCGAGTCTCCGTACAGCTGCTGTGGTACCTTTTGCCCACATCAACCGTTGACAGCATGTATGTGTTGGCCGTTCACGCAGGTAGCGCGAAGACCGTCTGCTTTGTTCATTTTGTCGGTAGGTTTCTCTGTGGCAAGTCCCCCGGTAAATGTGCATCATCTCTTGCTTTCAACAAGACTACGTTGAACTGCTGTTGTTGTTGTTGTTGTTGTTGTTGTTGTTGTTGTTTCTCACATTAGCCCTATAGTCCACTGTGTATCCCACGAACCCACCCTATTTTGCGATTGGCAGTAGTCTAGCTGACTACCGCAGTACAACACACATACTGCGCAAACTCTTCATGAGTCACACAGAGATCCATGTCTTGTTCCAAGAAGTATTTTTCATTTTCTCCCAGTATAACGAACTCTCCCTTCTTCCCCTCGCTCCTCGACAAGCTTTTGCTTAGACATGGGTTGTAGTGAAGGGGGGGGTCTTTCTGGCGAGCAGGGCTAGACTCACCCTCAAGGGATGACCGAAACCTTCTTGCTGCTGCGCATATCCGCCGCGAGGCATGCGCGTGGTGGTGTAGTTGGGTCGGCACTGATGGGGTCAG